AACAAAATGGCCCGATGTTTGAAAAAAATTGCTGTGTCAGAGTGCGACACTGAGTGGCAGATTTTCTTTGCCTCGTCTATCAACGCTTTCTTTCTTTTCTTCGCCATTGCGTTAGAAAAAAAATGTATTAGTAAAATAGAATATTGACTTGGTACTCCTTTCGCACAACCTCCCGCCCGCTTCCGCTTTCCAATCACCTTTTTCTCTCGCTTTTGCGACCGCTTGTTGAATTCGACCGGACAATTTCCGCTTTACTTTCGACCGCGCAAACCCCGAAATATCATCGTCCACCTGCTCGCTCGCGCGCATTTAAAATTCGGACTAACAGAATAATTTCCGAGGTTCACATTGTCTTATAATTGTCTTTCTGGTTTTTATAGATGTTGAACAGCTGACAAAAGTTCAAATACTTTTTATTTTAACTATATATAATTATATGCACGCAACCTGACCCTTTGACCTCGATTTTGGCGTGGACTGAATATTTTATTTTAAACAATATTCTGACGTGAAATACAAAATGTATTTCAACACAAGTACGACATGGTTGTCTGGGGTTTCTTTCCTGATTGTTGAGTCTTCGCAATGTGTTTTGTATAATTATTGTTGTTTTCCCCCGATGCTGAAGGACCGTAAAGCTAAATGGCAGTTACATGCATGGGCTGAGTGAAAGAAAATATTTCTAAGCCTAAAATAAAACCTAATATTACACCTCTTTGTGTATTTGTTAATTTTACATATGTTTGTCATGACAGTATGTTTGTAAATATCTAGAAAAATCTCGTCTTTCGTTGATAATTTCGATTGTTTGTTTGGAATGTCGATCCCCATTGGTTTCTCCATACTGAGTTTAGGAAGGGCGTCGATCAACACCGTGACAATCAGCCGAGAGAAGACAAACATTGACCGTAATTCATGGAGATCATGTCCGTAATTTGTGGGCTGAAACCCCAAATAATTAATCAAGTATTATTATTTTAATATATATTTTATTTTACATCGCAAAACTAAACCATGCCCAAAACAGAGCTAGAGTTGTTCGCGGTGAAACAACCGCATTGAAGACGATGCAACTTCAAGGTGACCACCGAACTCGGCCAGAATTCTACTCGGCCAGTGACCGATCACGGCCAGTGACCGTACTCGGCCAGCATATGTGTTAATGGGTTTGTCAAAGGGTGTCGATTTCAGTGACGCAACAGTAAAATGTTTAAAAAAAATACATGGGCCCCAAGGGTTATCGATCTCAGTGATGCAATAGCGAGCGCGATTTCAGTGATGTCTAAGGGGCTTTATTAATAAAAAAGGGTTGTCGATCTCAGTGATGCAAGAGCGAGCGCTGTGTCTTTTGTCATATCACAGTAAAATGTTAAAAAAAATACACGGGCACCAAGGGTTGTCGATCTCAGTGATGCAATAGCGAGCGCTGTGTCTTTTGTCATATCACAGTAAAATGTTTAAAAAAAATA